CGGGGAGCACAACCCCTTCGCGCGTGTGGAAATGGCCGGGAGCGGCCCGAGGCAGGGTCAGCCCTGCGCAACCCCGTGTCCAACCTCGGAGCCGCACGACGCAGCCCAGCATTGCCCCCGCCCCAGGATGCAGGGGGGCCGCGGCCGCTAATGTCCTGCTGCCGGGGGGTCACGGACACTGCAGAGGGCCCGGGCCCGGGCCCAGGCCGTGCCCCGCTGCAGAGGAAGGGGAAACCCCCTAGTCTGGACCAGTCTGAGCAGGGGGCCAATCCTTTCCTGCCCCAGTGCAGCGGCGTCGCAGGGGCAAGACCCTCCACCGGGACCCTGCGGGGTCGGTGCAGCAGGAGCATGGGTGCGGCCCAGCCCCATCCCCAGCCTGGGCTGCAGCACCAGCGCCTCGGGGGAGGCTTCAAACCCCCGACACATGGCACTGAAAGGGGAGAAGGGGCAACCAGCACAGCCCAGATGCCTGGGACCCCCCCAGCGCCCGTCCAGCCTCTCCTTGCCCCCTCCAGGGATGGAAGCTCCCCCTGCCCTGGCCTCTGTTCCACATGGGGAAACTGAGGCACAGGGAGAGTGGTGACACCCCCCGGGCACTCAGCTCCGTGACGCTGGGTTCAGCCTTGCGGCTTGCCCTGGCCTCCCAGGCGCTGACACCCGTCCATCCCTGTCCCCGCAGCGTGCCATGGCAGAGTACCGCATCCGGGAGTACCGCGACGAGGACTACGAGGCTGCACGCGAGCTGTTTGCAGCTGCCATGAGCGAGCACGCACCTGGCCTGTGCATGCACGTGCTGCACCAGCCCTGGGTCCTGCTGGTCCTCGCCTGCACCTTCACCCTCCTGCTCGCCAGCTCCCGCTCAGTGCTGCTGCCCGTGCTGGCCGTCACCCTGCTGCTGGCGCTGGGCCGGCAGCTGCTGAGCTACGCCTGGGGCCTCTACATCGAGCGCTGCCTGGGGGACGACCTGCGGGACATCCACGCCAGCTACGTGGAGCCCGCCAGCTCCTGCTTCTGGGTGGCGGAGGCAGCTGAGGGCGTGGTGGGCACCGTGGCAGCACGGCCGGCTGACGCCGGTAACGGGACACTGATGCTGAAGCGCATGGCGGTGCGCCGGGACTTCCGGGGCCGCGGCGTGGCCACGGCGCTGGGCCGTGCCGTGCTGGGCTTTGCACAGCACCGGGGCTGCCGCGCCGTGGTGCTCAACACCCTCATGGTGCAGCGCGAGGCCCGCAGGCTCTACGAGCACCTTGGCTTCCAGCCCGACCGCCGCTACCTGCTGCCCACCCTGTACGGGCGCCTGGCTGGCTGCGTTATCACCACCTACCGCTACGACCTGCCCTCTGCTGACTGAGCGCGGGTCCTGGCCCCGGCACCGCGCTGCAGGCGGGCAGGACTGCCTCGCGTAGCGCCCGGCTCTTGTGCATGATGAGCAGGACTCTGAGTGCATGGCGGGCCTGACGTGGCCGGAGCTGTGGCCCCCGGAGGGGCTGGACGTGACGCTGCCTCGTGGCCACGTAGATGCTGCCACGGCTCAGGGTCTTCTCAGGGTGATGCCAGCGGACGAAAGCGCCCGTGTCGGTTTGCTCAGGGACAGCAGGACCCCTCAGGGTCAGACCCAGACAGCAGGGACAGCTCAGGGGCAGGGTGGGGGGTAGGTTGCCCCAGCCCCTCTGGACAGTGTGTGCAGGGCAGTTCCCCAGGGTGGCGGAGGCTGGCACTTGGGGGACGTGGTCTCCAGGGTGGGCATGGGAGGGGTCCTCCTCCTGCAGACACTCAGGGCAGGGGCAGGTCCTTGCTTTGTCCGTGGGACTAGGTGGGCCACGTCAGCTCCTCCAGGCCACAGCTAGAGCTTGTCCCCACTATCCCTCGTGCATATGGGTAAGCAGACCTAGGTCCGCAGACGTGGGTGCTGGTTGGGTGCATCTGGGCCTGCCCAGCTCTGGCCTCCCAAGGGTTGCTCCCCAGCCATGCTGAGGGATGGGCGCTGGGGGCTGCAACAAATAAAGAGATGCTGCCTTGGTCCCAGCCTGTCTACCGCATCTCTGTGCCTCTCTCATGCTGACCTGGGTGCCCGTGCCTGGGCAGGAAGGGCCCATTTCTCGCCTTGTGACCTGTTAGAGGCCTGTTCTCCCCCGGAGCTGGGCATGCCCAGCTGTGCTTGGGCCCTCATGGGGTGGGCACAAGCCCCTGGGCCCTGAGCACTGCCTTTGTGGTGGGAGTGCAATGGGCAGCCCCATTGCTCTGGCATGCCTGAGTCTCCTTGTGCCATGCAGATGAGACTGGGGGCTTCCTAGACGCCCACGTAGAAAGATAGTCACCTCCAGCCTCTTGCTGCATGCCCAGCTCCTGCCTCTTCAGGCAGAGCCCCAGCTCCCAACCAGGCTCAGGGACTGCCAGGGAGAGGGGTGCTGGGCTCAGACCCAAGGCCTAGCCAGCCTCCATGCCCTGCTGTGCCCCTGCTCCGGGTCCGCAGCACCCAGCTGTGCTGCTGACAGGCTGTGCGTGTCCCCAAGCTCCATGACAGGCCCAGGCCTTCCTGGCTGCTCTGGGGTCTGGGCGCAGGGGTCTGTGGATCCTGGTTGCTCAGTTCCCATGGCAAGAAGCCCCCCGCCACCCCCAACTCCCCCATGAAGTTGAGGGGTTTGAGCTGCCAGGCAGTGTGCCCTGGTGCGCCAGGTGCTGCACAAGTGCACGAAGGAAAAGGTGCTAGGCCAGAGCCCAGCAGGGGCAGACCCGAGCTGCCGAGGGCCAGACAGCGCCGCAACACTGCCAGGGTACTGGTGGGTGCTGTCTCAGCCCTGCTAGAAGGGTCCTGGGACTGCCTTGTCCAGGTCCTGCGAGGCGCAGGCATCCATGCCAGCAGCTGGCTCAGGGTGCAGCGTGGAAGCTAGGAGAGGGGGATCGGGGAGCACGGGCTGCATGCCAGGCCTGGGACACAGACCAACGCTGCCCTGGAGCCCCCACGGCGAGTGCTGGCTGCAGCCGGCACTGGTGCAGTTTCCCCTTTAAGCTGCGTGAGCCCGGCCCTGCCTGCTGGCCTGGTGCCGAGAACTGGGGAGCCGCTGCAGGGAGCGACTCGAGGCCTCGCGCTCTTGGCTGTCAGCGAAGGGCTCCGGCTTGTGCCAGGAGCTGGACGGGCAGCCTGGCCTACAGGTGAGCTGGGCTCGGCTGGGGCTGGGGCTGGGGCTGGAGCTGAGCCTGGGTCCTAGGTGCTGCCAAGCTCCTGCTCCAGGCCCAGTTGGGGCTTGCGTGGGAGAGCAGCAGGGATATGCCGCAAGCGAGGGCCGCACTGCTTTGGCACTGGGGAGCTTTGGGCCCAGGGTCTGACCCAGACCTGGGCAGTTCTTGGGAGCTCTGGACTGCACGGGGGCTTTTCTCTCCCTGAGACGGCCCGGTCCCTGCAGGGAGCCCAGGGCTGCCCCCCACTCCCACGTGCCGACGGATGTGAGTGCCAGGCAGGTCAGGGTGCTGATAACCTCTGGCTGGTGCCTGTGCCCAGGTGAGGCTGTGGGTGCCCAGGTTGCCCTGGCCCCAGCCCTGCACTGGGGCCAGGAAGGGATTTGCCCCCTGCTCAGACTGGTCTAGACTGGGGGTTTCCCCTTGCTCTGCAGCGGGGGCACGGCTCGACCTGGGCTCTCTGCGGCGTCTACGACCCCCTGGCAGCAGCAGGATGTTGGCGGCCGTGGCCCCCCTGCATCCCGGGGGTGATGCCTGGGGCTGTATCAGGGGTGACTGTAGTTTTGCTCAGAGGTTGGACACGGTTTGTCTGGGCTGGTTTGGACGGGGCTGATCCTGCTGCAGGCAGGGGGTGGGCTGGATGTGACCCCGCAGGTCCCTGCCAGCCCCATGTCTCTAGGATTGCTATACCCCCTGGCAGCAGCAGGATGTTGGCGGCCGTGGCCCCCCTGCATCCCGGGGGTGATGCCTGGGGCTGTATCAGGGGTGACTGTAGTTTTGCTCAGAGGTTGGACACCTCCCAGCAGGGGTGGTGCAGGCACCCACCCTGGGGACCTTCAAGAGGAGACTGGACGCAGTAACCGTGCTGGATTATTTGACCCCCACAGTCCTTCCTGCCCAGAGCAGGGGGGCTGGACCCGGTGATCTCGCGAAGTCTCTTCCAGCCCTAAACTTTTGTGAATCTGTGACTTGTACACGGCCAGCTTTTCTGAGTAGCCCCTAGCCTGCTCTTTCACCACTGGGGGCTGCTCCCCTCCTCCCCAAACTGCGCTGCCTGGTGCAACAGTCTGGGAGCTGATGTTGCCTGTGAAGACTTGAGGCAAAAAAAGCATTGAGCACTTCAACCTTTTCCACATCCTCTGTCACTAGGTTGCTTCCCCCCCCCCGCATTCAGGAAGGGACCCCCACTTTCCCTGATCCTCCTCTTGCTGCCGACTTACTTGTAGAAACTCTTCTTGTTCCCCTTCACATCCCTTTCCAGCTGCAACTCCAATTGCACTTTAGCCTGCCTGACTTCATCCCTGCGTGTCCGAGCCATGGTCTTGTACTCCTCCCTGGTTATTTGTCCAAGTTTCCACTTATAAGCTTCCTTTTTGTGATTTAGTTTACTGAAGCGTTCCCTGCTAGGCCTCGCTGGTCTTCTGCCACACTTGCTAGCCTTTCTGCACATCGTTGTGGTTTGTTCCTGCACTCTCAGTAAGGTTTCTTTGAAGTCCCTGCCCATGAGTTTCCTGAGGGGGTCTAAGTCTGCTTTTCTGAAGTCCAGGGTCCTTACTCTGCTGCTCTCCATCCTCCGTCCTCAGGATCCTGAACTCAGTCATCTCGTGGTCGGTGCTGCCCAAGTTGCCGTCCACGACTGCATTCCCCACCAACTCTTTCCTGTTTGTGAGCAGCAGGTCAAGAAGAGCACGGCCCCTGGTTGGTCTCTCCAGCACTTGCACCAGGTCGAAGGATTTGACGTATCATAGCAGATACAAAGCAGAGCACAGGCCAGAACAACAGGGGCCGTCCTGCCCCATGGCCAGACCACAGGCTTTCTCCTTAGAGCAACAGGCCAGAGGAGAACAGGGGCAAAGAAAATGGTAAATACAGAAAAACCCACCCAATGCACAACAACCGAAGGCGCACGCTCTGTCACACGCAGCACACACGAGTGTCGGTGTTACAACAATAACTACGCCCATCTGCAGGGGTGAGATTACTAGCACTTTGTTCTGGTGTCAGTCGTTACCACTTAATTTCCTTTTTCATCATTTCCGCAGCTCTTTTTGCAGCTCTTTCTGTAACACCCTGCGAGTCTTTCTGAGGGTTTCACTTCTCCAAAAATAAAAGTATCCGTCCCAGTTGTTTTTGGGGAGAACCTTTCCCTCCGAGGCCTAATAGACACAAGTCCTCGCCGTGGGATCTGACTGACTTGCATGTGTGGCAGCCGTGCATCTGCATGCAGCACGGGGCTCATTGCCTGAGGCTGATTTCCTTGGTCACCAGGATGGGTTTTGCACCGAGACTCACTTGCGCTTCCCCGGTCTCAACATCGCTGGATTTTGCCATTGCTGTATAAAAGTGCTGGGATGCTCACCGCTGCGGGGCCTGGAGGTCTGAGGTGTGGGATCCGTGGTACCGGGCCAAAGGTTTCCTCTTGCTCCAGGTAAACCAGAGCTTTCCAAACGCAGCACAGTGCCAGGGCCGCGTTGCTTTCCCCACCAGGTGCCCGCCGGCCCCTTTGCCCTCTCCCCCTTAGCACACTCCTTGCCAATGGACAGTTCTGCCTTTCTCTGGGTCGGGTGCTTGCTGGCCTACGACACGGACAGCCTTCACCCCACAGCCAGGGCTTCCCCTGCACACCTGCATGGTTGTTTCTAGGGCCACATCTGCCTCGCTCCACAGCCATGCTTGTACCGCAGCAGCCGCAGTGCCAGGAAAAACCCGATCTCTAACCAGCAGGGATCCTGGTTTAAAAGTCACAACTTCTTTTGCAAATTCTCTGATTAAAAAACCCCAAATCCATGTTCATCCATGATTAAAATGAAACACCACTATATATAGAGGTATCAGTGGAACACAACGTTTTACTGATATATTTATATTTTTCAAGCAATCAGGAAGCCTACCAATGCCTCAATCATTATAATGAAATACTTTCTAAATACCTATATATTTTGGCATTTGCTTTTGGATTTTTAATCATGGAAAATCAGAGCTTCCCCTGTTCCCTTTGCTCACCAGGACCCGGGTCAGTGCAGGTGTTTCTGGCCACATAGAAACCCTGTGTCTTTCAAAGGTTTCCTCCTTTTCTGGCTCCCAGTA